TGGAGTTGACACCGATTTTCCATTTGTGGTAGTGGTGTAAGTTTCCCCTTAAAAAAAAAATAAAGTAGTATGTGAGTGGATTTAAATAGAAATATTAAGTACATAATATTTACCGGTGGTACATTATTGCTACAGCAAAGATTATGCAAGTGTCAGAAAAGCGAGATTTTTGGCCACGTGTCTGAGAAAAGTTGGTGGTTCTGAGATGAAGCTGGCTTCGCCCAGTGCCATGCGGGGATCACAGTGACTTAAAGAGAGCGGTGTGCGAGGCTGGCCGTGTCAGAGCAGAGCGAAGGCTCCTAGCTCCTTACATGTCTCAGTGATGAGCCATTGGTCTGATATTCAGAGGACTGAGGATTTCATGATTATAAATTACCTTCCTTTTCTTGCTTGCTGTTCAACTTTCACAATCTGGGGGAAGAAAAAGAAAAGAAAAAGAAACTGCTGCTTGGATGAATTAAAACCAATGTAAATGTTTTCAGGGCTTTTGCTTAGCAAAGCAGCCTTTCCGTTCTAAGCGGCTGCCGGGGAGTGTGAGAGGTGTGTGTTCGCATGGCCGAGTTCCGTGACTTTTCACATCAGCCCTGCCGGGGTGTTTCTGATAAGCTGTGATACAGTTTTTCTGATAAGGCCGGAATTTTTGCTAAGAGACCTTTTGTGTTTTGTTTTGCTGGTTCGCAGGGTGGTGGATTATCAGGATGTTGTTATGGATTTGAGGTTAATCTCTTTGTAGATTGAAAGTCTGTGCTCTGTTACCTGGAGTGTGTGTGTGTGTGTGTGTGTGTGTGTGTGTGTGTGTGTGTGTATGCGTGCACGGACAAATTCAAATTTATGTTGATCTGCAGCTTTGCAAGAACTCTAGACCCTGCAGATTCAGCTAGAACAGCCAGAGGACTTCACAGCCAGAAGCAACCAAGGAGACTGGTCCCTGTTACAGATGAGAAGCTGGAGACGCACAGTTGGTGGTGGGGGACTTCTCCACGGTCACACAGCTAGTTAGTGGCAGAGTAGTACTAGCTCTCAATTTCCTGCTTCCTAAACCAGGGTGTCATTACTGTATATTATGTTATGCCACGGCCACCTTTAAGATAAAATAAAAACATGTTTCTTTGAGGAACTGTGCTTCTTTTCTCAAGGTCATACAGAAATCAGGCCTCTGTCTGCTAGGCCACGGCTGCCGAATTACTTAGTTCCTCTCGCTGGAGGAAGTCACTGTTTCCTGTGACTTCCAGCAGCAATTTGTGTGTGTGCACACTGTACGCATTTTGCTTTTCTGTTTTAACACTGTATCTTGAAGTCATTCCATTTTCATGCAGAAAGAACTTTTTTTATCCCTTTTTATCTTCTTTCTTTAATTATTTTTTAATCCTCACCCGAGGGTATGTTTAGAGAGAGAAAAGGAGAGGGAGGGAAGGAGGGGGGGGGGGGAGAGAGAGAGAGAGAGAGAGAGAGAGATGTGAGAAACACTGATTGGTTGCTTTCTATACGCATCCTGACTGGGCTAGAGCCTGCAGCCTAGGTATGTGTCCTGACCGGGAATTGAACCTGCAGCCTTTCGGTGTAGGGGATGATGCTCCAACCAACTGAGTCACGCAGCCAGGCTTCATCCCTTTTTAAATTACCTTCTTTGAGGTTACATCTTTCTATCGTTTGGTGTAGATATTAGCATCTTTGAGTAGTAGTTTAAAAATTTCACATAGACTTTTCTGAGCTCACTTTTATTTACTCGTTCACCCAACCAACAAATAGTTTTTTGTTTGTTTTTTGTTTTTGAGGGTTTGCTTTGTGGGCAGGTCCTGTCCACATGCTAGGAATACAGTGGGGAGGGAGAGAGTCCTCACAGAATTGACTGATTGGTGGGGGTGGCCTGGGGGTTGGGGGAGAGCCTGGCAATAGATGAATAACCCCAGAATTACTTAATTGTAATGCATTGGATAGTGCATGTAACAGAGAAGGGAAGTATGAATGGGGTCTGATGCAGTCAAGGAGGTCGGAAACCCTCCCAAGCACATGAGGCTTTACCTGGAGGGAATGAGTGGCTTTAGTTATGTGGAGAAGTGCCTGGGTACGGGTGGGGAGGAGCAGTGGGGGTGGAGGGAACAGCAAGTGCAAAGGTCCTGCGGCAGAAAGGAGTGCAATGCTTTCTGTGAACAGGAAGATAGCCAGTTTGGCTGGAGTCCAGTGAGAGAGGTTAAGCTAGAGGGGCAGGCAGAGCCCAGCCAGGCTGGCCTTGTTGAGGTTATTTAACTTTCCCCTAAGACAAGGGAGGGGAATGTCCGACCCATGGGCCATATAATCACTTGGTCTGGCTCAGCCAAAGCATTAGGGGTGAGTTAATTAAATGTTTGGCCAAATATAGCAGGCTAGTTTTTAAGTTGATAATTTTGTATGGCCCGCGAATGATGTTATAAATATCCAAATGGCCCTCTTTGGTTTGGCTCAGTGGATAGAGCGTCGGCCTGCAGACTGAAGGGTCCCAGGTTCGATTCCGGTCCAGGGCACATGCCTGGGTTGCGGGTTCAATCCCCAGTAGGGGCATGAAGGAGGCAGCCGATCGACGATTCTCTCTCATCATTGATGTTTCTCTCTCTCCCTCTTCCTTCCTCTCTGAAATCAATAAAAATATATTTTAAAAAAATCCAAATGGCCCTTGACAGAAACAAGGTTCCCCACCCCTCCCCTAAGAGCTGTGGGAAGCCATTTCTGAGCTCTCACCTGGGGGTGGGGGGCACCGTCTGGACCCTGTAAGATCAGCTCTGCTAAGCCTGACAGCATCTCCAGGATGGCCCGGAAGGGGAACCAAGGAGGTTGAAAGTCATTTGTGTAGCCACCCTACTCCCCAAAACGGGCCAGCCACACAACTTTAGGAAGAGGCCCCATTTCTGCCTGGCAGGCCCTTGGACATATATATTTTCACTTACTTATTTGCTCTGTCACTCAACAAAAGGGTATGGACATTCTCTAGTGCCTGTGCTAGGCGCTTGGAAAACAACACTGAATGATCATAGACATGGTTCCAACCTCAGTGGAGTATAGACCCTAGTGCAGAGTCACAAACTTCTATAAAGGGTCGGACAGTGGATTCTTTAGGCTTTGTGGGCCATATGGTCTCCATCTCGGCTACCAACTCTGCTGTTATAGTGCAAAAGCAAGCCATAGACCATACGCAAACAAATAGAGGAGTGGCTGTGTTCCAATAAAACTTTATTTATAAACACAATCTGTGGGCTGGATTTGGCCCAGGGTCTGTAGTTTGCCTACCCCTGATCTTGTGGGATGGAATTCCCTAAACAGATAAATATCTGATGTGATGTGAGCTGGTAGCTGGTGCCAGTGGAAAAAGATGTCAGGGAAAAGGGGTGGAGAAAGACACTGGGGTGAGGATAGAGATGATCTTTTTGATGGGCCAATCTAAGGAGGTCTTGGCTGAGCAGGCACGCGAAGGAATCAGGGAAGCGGCCAAGTAAAGACGTTGCGGGGAGAGTTTCCAGGCAGAGGGAGAAATGCACTCAGGAACTCAGAGGCAGACTCTGCTTGATGGAAAGCCAGGTGTCCCTGGGCTGTTGCTGAGTCAGGTTGGGGAGAAGAGGGGACAGGTGGGAGGGGCAAGACAAGCCAGGGCCCAGGGACAGGTGTGTTAAGAAGTTTAGATCACATCTACTAGTATAGTGTCCGGGAAAGCCTTTAAAGTGGATTTCAGAAATGGATGTTTCCAAAGATTGCAGTGTGGGGAACAGACCACACAGAGCAAGGCTGGAAATGGGGAGGCCAGGAAGAGGCCACTACAGTGGCCCAGATGGGAGAGGACAGTAGCTTGGACCGGAGTGGCTGTAGTGGGAAGGGGTGACACATGAATTTGGTTTATAATCAACAGTGGCGGTCAGGATTTCCTGATGGCTTGGACGTCAGGGTGTGGCAGAGAGGAGTCCAGGCTGAATGGAGGGGCCTGTGCTGAGCTGGGCAGATTGGAGGAGGAATGGGTGAGGGGTGGCAGGAATGGATAGCTGGTTCCCTTGCTAATTCCAGTCTCCAGCCGTGGGGCCTTTTGAGGTGCAGCAGTAGCCTGCGCTAGACGGCTACTATGAGAGAAGCAATTAGGGTGTCTCCAGCTGCTGGCGTGATAGTTTGGAAGACTCTATAGCCAGAGCCTTGCCTTTTGGGGGCCAGGTGGTTTGTCTGTGGGATTTCTAATCCTGCTAATTCTGTGGTTTAGGGTGAATCTCTTCCCCTCCCAGGGCCTCAGTGTCCTTATCTGTGAAATGGAAAGATAAGACATGAGTCAGGAGTTCTGGTTCAGAATTAAGCTACTTGTTATACTCGAGCATGGATATTTGAGGTTTGACCCCAGAGCTCCATGCACTCCAGGCCCGTGCGTCCTCCCTCTGCCTCCCGTATCTGTGTCAGACACACAGAGATATGAGGTGGGCCTAGGTCCGAGGTTTTCAAATTGGGTGTCATAGCCCACTGGCAGGACAGTAAACCTGTTGAATGGGTTGTGACCAGCCTGTAAGAAAGTAACCTCAGTCGGGTGTGTGTGTGTGTGTGTGTGTGTGTGTGTGTGTGTGATGAGGGTGTCGCATGTAGCAGGGTAAGTATTGTTTTGTGAAGCCTTTGTTTCAGTTGGGAGTGAATATGATGGCGTGAGCTAGGTTGTGAAATAAAATGCATTTCTTCTGATGGTCCCATTGAGACAAGGGTTTGGAAGTCATTAGCCAGGTGGTCACCCAGGCCTCCAGCTGATGCTTCCCAGCTTGGCCGGGCCATGCTCGGTGCACCTCTCCTCAAACCTTTCTGCTGTGACTTTGCCCTTCACGGAGCCTGGGATAAAGCAGCCCCCTTTCCTTCTGGTGAGGGAAGTATGGTCCAGCCTGGGGTTTGGCGTGGTGGGGATTTAAACAATAAATAAACAGCAGGAGACAAACCCAGCCTGTGATTGCTCTGCTTTGGGAGTTCTGTTCTAGAGGCTTAAAAAGACCTCCCCTCCCCCCTTCTCTTTCCAGAAGAACCGAATGCACATAAGGTCGCCAGCCCACACTCCGGACTTGCATACCATGATGATGTCCTGGACTATGGCCTCAAGCCATACAACCCCCTCGCCAGTCTCTCTGGCGAGTCCCCCGGCCGATTCGGAGAGCCGGATAGGATAGGGCCCCAGAACTTTCTGAGCCCGGCCAAGCCAGCGGGGCCTCGGGCCTGAGCCCTCGGATCGAGATCACTCCGTCCCACGAACTGATGCAGGCAGGGGGGGGCCTCCGCATGAGAGACACTGGCCTCCTGGGGGAGCAGGCGCCCCTGGCGGGGGCGGCCGCCAGCCCGAGGTTCACCCTGCCCGTGCCCGGCTTCGAGGGCTACCGCGAGCAGCCGCTTTGCTTGAGCCCCGCTAGCAGCGGCTCCTCTGCCAGCTTCATTTCCGACACCTTCTCCCCCTACACCTCGCCCTGCGTCTCGCCCAATAACGGCGGGCCCGACGACCTGTGTCCCCAGTTTCAAAACATCCCTGCTCATTATTCCCCCAGAACCTCGCCAATAATGTCACCTCGAACCAGCCTCGCTGAGGACAGCTGCCTGGGCCGCCACTCGCCCGTGCCCCGTCCGGCCTCCCGCTCCTCGTCGCCTGGTGCCAAGCGGAGGCATTCGTGTGCTGGGGCCTTGGTTGCCCCGCTGCCCGGAGCCTCACCCCAGCACTCCCGCAGCCCCTCACCGCAGCCCCAGGACGACGGCGCCCCCGCTGGGTACCCCCCAACGGCTGGCTCTGCCGTCCTCATGGATGCTCTGAACAGCCTCGCCCCGGACTCGCCTTGTGGGATCCCCCCCAAGATGTGGAAGACCAGCCCGGACCCGTCACCAGTGTCTGCCGCCCAGCCCAAGGCCAGCCTGCCCCGCCACATCTACCCGGCCATGGAGTTCCTGGGGCCCTGCGAGCAGGAGGAGAGGAGGAACTCGGCCCCCGAGTCCATCTTGCTGATGCCCCCGACGTGGCCCAAGCCGCTGGTGCCCGCTATTCCCATCTGCAGGTGAGTCGGGCTTTGAAAGTGAATTGTTCCACGATTTAGTGTCAAGAGATGGTTTTCTGGCTGTGAGCGTGGGGTTCAAAGTTGGCCAGACTCTGAACATTTAAATTCCAGCTCTCCGTTTACTGGCTGTGAGACCCTGAGAAGGAAGTTAAATTCTCTGAGCCGTAGTTTCCCCATCTGTAAAATGGGTATAGGTGTACATGACTTACTGGGTGGTGATTTTGAGGGTGTAGTAATAGGATGCATGTGATTGCTCATGTGGCACTTGGCTCATCATTCATTCATTTACTTAACAAGTATTTATCAAGCACCTACCAGGTGCCAGACACTGTTATAGGTGTTGGAGAGACAGTGGTGAAAAAAGTGGGCAAAAATGTCTGCCTTTATGGAGCTGGCATTCTCATAAGCAGAAAGCAAGTCTTTATGTATGCATTTTGCTATCTTATTATAAGACCAGAGGCCCAGTGCATGAAGATTGGTACAAGAATGGGCCTTCCTTCCCCTGGCTGCTGGCACCGCCTTCGCTCTGCCCTCCGGCCTGAGCCGCCTTTCTGCCTTCCCACGCTGCCCAGAGGCCCAGAGCCGCTGGGGCAGTCGGAACACCTGCATCGTTGCCATGGCGATGATGCAAGCGTCCCACCCCACCCTGCCCCCGGCCTGTCGGCACCTGTGTATGCAAATTAACCCACCATCTTTGTTGGGTTAGTTTGCATACCCACTCCTGATTGGCTGGTGGGTGTCATGAAGGTACAGTCAATTTTCATCTTTCTCTTTTATCAGTGTAGATGTCTTATTTGACATCTGCTATGTACCACAGGACTGCAATCAGTGATAGGGAAGTCCTAAAAAATAGGTGAGCCCTAATCCTTAGGAGTTTAAAAATCTTGATAAACTGAAGAGTTGGAGATAGAAGCCTGTAAGCTTTGGACTCTCTTAGGACTGGATTTGAGCCCTGGCTCTGCCATTTACTGGCTGTGTGATCATGGGCATCTCTGGTACTGCCATCCTACTGAGCCCATCAGACATCACCAATCCTGCAGGACCATCTTTCTCACTGAGCATTTTTTCATGTCATGCCCAGGGCAGACATCACTAATCAATCAGGACCTTCATTCTCACTGAGCACCTTTCTGGGCCTTGGTTCCTCCTGTGAGGTGAGGATGATAATAGTAACTTATCTCATGGTGTTTTATTTTAAGGGTTAGGTGAGATCATATTTATCAAGCTCTTGGCATAGACTCTGCACAAAATAAGAGCTCAGAAACAGTGCAGCGTTATTGTCATAGGGTAATCTTTGTCTTCTAGAGGAAAAGACAAGCTCTGTGCTAGGAGCCTGAGCTCCCAATAGTGTCAGAGTCCTGATAGGGACAATAATAATCACCAATATTTAAGAACTCTGTGCCAGGCATAATTCTAAGTATCTCTATGTATTACTACATTTAATTCTCACATAAACCTGGTTTCGTATTATTTTTATTTTGATGACAAGAAAAACGGGGCACACAGTCAGGAGCAGATATTATTCTATCTGTTGTATTAGATGAAGAATCTGAAGAGTTATGCTATTATCATAACCTAGTGGTTTTCAAAGTGTCATTTGATTTTAGCATCTGGAACCCCCTCCCTTTTTCCCCCCAAATAAAATATTGAATACCAAAATAGATAATGGTAGAGAGAGAGGGTTTTGATTGATGTGGGGTTGAGAGTAGCCAAGGACCCTGACCATTGGCTTAACCCCACACCAGACCAAAATGGACCCTGTAAAGCTTCCAGTCTGACTGAGAGCACTACTGCCATAGTAGGTTAGCCGATGTCCCTTAAGGAATGGAATGTCTGGGTTCAATAGGGTTAAACAGGTGCCTATGTGCAGGGGACCCTCCCAGCTGTGGGCAGAATGCGCAGTGATTTCGAAGCTCGTTTGACTGCCGAGTTCTGAGTTCTGTGGCTCAGGTTTCACAGAGCTACCTTAGGACGCGGCGACCAAGACCAACCCCTGGCACAGGTTGAGAAACCAGGGCTCAGAGAGGTGACACGGCATGCCCGTGATCACACAGTCATGACCACATTGGAACTTAGAGTCCAGGATGCCTGACTCCTCGTCCTTTCTGCTACAGATCAATCTCCAAAACATGGCCTAGCTAATGACTGGCCGTGGGGAAGAGCATTAATATGAAAAATGGTTGTAATACATTTATGTGAGACTTTATTGTTTATTTTGTGAAATCCTTCCCTCTCCATTCTGTGGCTTGATCTGAGAGGTGTTAGAATCCTTTGTCCCCTACCAGGTGTCAGTCTGTGCCAGCCAAGGGGATATTGGTAAGAATTTTCTATCAGATTGAGAGGATGGGGGCATTCAGGAGATCTCATGATAATATCTGCTCAAAGGTGTGTGGACAACTCAGCCGAGGGCTGGAATTCCAATGCAGGATTTCAGACTGACCTCAGTGGTCTGATTCTTAATATTTTATTTCAGCTGTCGAAGCCTTATTCCAGAACAAGCAAAATTTGATATTGATGCTTACAGACATCCCACTGAATCTCCCACTCACTAAATTTTTGATACTTCAAGAGACACAGGGGTGAAGTGATTTTTTTATGAGCCTTATTTTGCAAACTTAATATTTTTTTTAACTTGCATAGATGCTGAGAGTAGGAGTATTTAACGTCAGTGGCACCTTGGTTGCAGGCAGCAGCTTGAAGGCATGTTGGCATGTAACTAAGGTAGAATTAAAGGCATTGTAGACACCCCAAGACTTCAGGGTAAGAGGGGCTTCAGGGGGCAGTGTGGTGGGAAGGAAGGAATGGAGATTTGCTTGTGGAGTAAAGATATAATTGTAATTGGATTGAAAGTTCAAGTAGGACTGTAGCACTGCTGGAGTTTATGGGTTACCATCCCCTTCCGTTCTCCCCTCGATATGACTCTGATAGAGAAGGGATGGAATTAGCTTCATTGCAAGCACTTAACTAAGTCAAGTGGATAATGTCAGCTTCTACTGCTCTAGGCTTAGTGGGAAAGCATAGCCTGATTGGATTGCTGATTTCTGCCATATGTAAAAAATCAGGACATAGTGACACAAATCCATGCACTTGCAACTTCAAAGCTACAGTGAATATACAGAGATTCTTTGAAATAAAATTGCTCATTCACTCATCCATCCATCCGCGCATCCACCCACCCACCCACTGAATATTCACTGGGAACCTATCAAATGCCAGGCATTGTTCTAGAGTCATTCCACAAATGAGGTAATTTCTTGGACTGATTTTAAATAAATTAGTAAGATAAAGAGGCAGTATGGAGTTGTGGATGGAGCCCTGGACTGGGAGTCAAGAAACATAAGTTGGAGCCCTGACTGTGTCTTGCTCTGTGATCTTGGAAAAATGTAGTGAGGTTCTCTGAGGCTCTGAAGGAATGAATAGTCTAGATAGATTGTCAAGACCTCAGTAAGCTCTTAAATGTCATAATTCTAATCACATATCAAGTGCCTGCTGTGGGTGCTGAATAGGGTTGAGATTCTATTATAAAATGAAACTTAATGGCATGCCCTCAAAGAACTTACAGCCTCAGATGTAAAGGCATGCATATCTAATCTTGTAACGAACTCAGATTATCTATAGGAAATAACTATATATTTGAAATATACAATATGTACAGGAAAATTATAGCTAATAATTGTGGAGCACTTACTAGAATTGTGATAGGATCTTTTATATAATCTCCGTATCCCCATTTCACTGTTGAGAAAATTAAGGCCCAGGGAGGTAGAGGCATTTGCTCCGTCACACAGGTCGTTAGAGGTGGTGCTGGGACTTAAACTTGGGTGTGTAACTCCAGTCATGATCTTGACCTTTACTCTTCATTTAATATTAGGGAGTCTGAGTGGTTTGGCTCATTCCTACCAAAACCAGACACCTCTCTGTGGTTGGATGTTTTATACTTGACATGATAAATAAGAACTGTGACCGGAACTCTCCTCTCTCTAAAGTTTACTTTTAATTGAGATTATCATACATAGAAATGAGAGCTTGGCGGTGATACTCTTCAAAATTCCCAGAGGAAAAGAAGGTCCGGCAGTTAGGAACACGCTAGAGCTAACGTTCAGTGAAATTAGCTTCATGAATTAAGATGTCAGTCACACTGTCTTCATCAAGACGAATGAGGAAGCAAAAAGATCTCCATCTTGTGAAGAGCCCCACCTATCATGCCTGAGAAATATGTGCCTTCCAACAGCCAGCGTTTTATTCTTGTGCTCATTGGACATGATTTTCAGAAAATGAACCATTTACGTTTATTGTACAGGTTACCTGATTCTGATTTATTGTACATACGACTGTTTCTGTTTCCTCCTTCAGTATCCCAGTGACTGCATCCCTTCCTCCACTTGAATGGCCACTCTCCCACCAGTCAGGCTCCTATGAGCTTCGGATTGAGGTGCAGCCCAAACCACATCACCGGGCCCACTATGAGACAGAAGGCAGCCGAGGGGCTGTCAAAGCTCCAACTGGTGGCCACCCTGTGGTTCAGGTATGGACTTGAATTATTTTTATTTTGTTTTATTTATTTGTTACTAGGTGATTTACTTCTGCTAAACCACTGCCTGTGGCTTGTCAGGTTGAGGTCTGTGACTCAGTCTCTTACTCCTCTGAGGGATGGGGCATTTAAGATCGAATCAGTATCTGAAACGAATCAGCTACTAAGACGCCAGAGAAGAAAGTCTTCTTGAGCTGGATTAGGATAGAAATGACATTCATGCCCCAGCTACGTCTTCTCTTCTCTTTCTGAGTGAAAAACTGCTAGAGTTCTGCAGATGTGTGTGTACTGACAGAAGGTTTCTGAAGCCATCATTTTGTGTTTAAATTTTAGATGAGCTTTTGTGTTTAAATTTTAGTGTATAGAGGAAAATCAATATACTCTTGTAAAATATAGGAAGGTAGGAACAAATTAAAACTATGCATAGTCAGCCCTAATTGGTTTGGTTCAGTGGATAGAGCGTCAGCCTGCAGACTGAAGGGTTCCCGGTTTGATTCTGGTCAAGGGCACATGCCCAGGTTGCAGGCTCGATCCCCAGTAGGGGGCATGCAGGAGGCAGCTGATCAATGATTGTCTCTCATCAATGATGTTTCTATCTCTCTCTTCCCCTCTTCCTTCCTCTCTAAAATCAATTAAAACAAACAAACAAAAACTATGCATAGTCAAACTACCTAAAATAACTGTTACTAACATTTTGATATATTTTCTCTTGCCTTTTTTCTATTCACAAACATGGCAATATCTACTACTGTACATTTATGTACTTGATGGTTTAGTAGTTTGTACTCTGATTTTTTTTTTTTACTTTGTACCATGAGCATTTCCTCCTGTTTTTTCTTAGTAGTTATCTTTTATGTCTGTGGCTTTTACTTCAACCTCAGATCTTTTTTTTCTTCTCAAAATAAGTACAGTGTTCTTTCTTCTCCAAAATACTTAGAGTTGAAATATTCTTAATTTTATTGTCTGGTTAACCAGCAACTGCTGACTACTGCCCATCAACCAACCCAACCAGACCTTCAATACATTTAAATTAATTTAACTTTTTTTTTTGGCATTTGCCTTAAAGTGTAAGTATTATATGGTAAGAATTCTATATATGATAATCTGATGCAGTGTACATCAGAACTCTCTAGAGTTGTTAAAAATACAGATTCTTGAGTATCACCTAAAACTACTTAATTAGAAGCTACATGACATGAGTAGAGTTCAGATAACAAACAAACCACAAACCCTAAAATCTTCACAGACACTTTGGCTGTATACACCTGGTTAAGGACTTTTATGATAATACTAGTGGCCAGGTGCATGAAATTTGTGCCGGGGGTGGGGGTGGGGGAGGGTGTCCCTCAGCCCAGCCTGCACCCTCTCCAATCTGGGACCCCTCGGGGATGTCCGACTGCCGGTTTAGGCCCAATCCCTGTGGGACCGGTCCTAAACCGGCAGTCAGACATCCCTCTCACAATCTGGGACCCCTGGCTCCTAACTGCTCACCTGCCTGCCTGCCTGATCGCCCCTAACCACTCTGCCTGCTGGCCTGCTTACCCCCAACAGCCCTTCCCCACCCCCGTTGGCCTTCTCGCCACCAACTGTCCTCCCCTGCCGGTCTCATAGCCCCCAACTGCCCTCCCCTGCCAGCCTCATGGCCCCCAACTGCCCTCCCCGCCGGCCTGGTCACCCCATGCAGCCTGGTGTTCAGTCGTTTGGTTGTCCCTCACTAACCCCCCTGCCAGCCTTGTTGCCCGACTCAGCCTGTTCGGTCGTCTGTTCAATTGTTTCGGATGTGACGGTCGCTTAGGCTTTTATTATATAGACTAGAGGCCCGATGCACACAATTCGTGCAAGGGGCTTGGCCCTCGCAGCCCCAGCTTCATCCAGAAGGTTGTCCAGACAGTCATTCTGCTGTTGGCCATCTGGTCTAATTAGCATATTATGCTTTTATTATTATAGATTAGGAGCTTTTAAATCCTGGCAGCTGCTTTTTCTAAATCTGACATGACAGACATCTTGGGATCTGTTTCTATTCATTGCTTTTCCTTGGCCACAAGTCACATTTTCCTCTTTCTTTGCATGTCTAGTAATTGTTGATTGTATTTTGACATTGCAATGATAACATATACTGGCCATTGTAGAGACTCTGGATTTTGTTATCTTCCTCTAAAGGCGTCCTTATTTTAGGATGGGAACCTCCTGGCTTGGAGGATGGCATTAGTCTGTGTGTTGGAGTCAAAGCCTTTGGTAAGAATAGGGAAACTCATTCAAAACAGATTAGGAAAAGGGGATTGTATGAGGAGGCTATGGGGCTATTGCACAAAACCAGGCCAGTAGATTGAACTCAAGAAGAACCCAGACTTGGGAAATCACCCTCTAAGTCTTACTTCTTTGCTTAGTCAATCCATTCAACAAATGAGTTCATTCTGCAAGCATTTGTTGGGCACCTACTTTTTGTCATATGCTGAACCTGATACTGAAATACAGTGAAGAATAAAACAGAAGTTATGATCTCTTTAATCATGAGCTCGTGTTCTAGAGGGAAAGAGGCAATGACTAATCACACAAATGATAAAATTAGAAACTGAGGCAAGTGGCCTGAAAGAAAAGTGTGTGGCTCTGGGTGGAGGAGCCAATGTAAGTGGGAAGAACATCTGTTAAGATTTCCCTGAGGAAGAGACGTAGGGGGAACAGCATGTGCAAATGCCCAGAGGCAGAAGGAGCAGAAGGAACCACATCAGAGGACCATCGGAGGCCGGTGTAACTGGAGTCTGAGGGGCTAGAGAGAGAGAGTGGAGAGAGGCAGAGCATGCAGGGCCTGGATAGCCACGGAGAAGAGTTTGTGAAAAGCAGGAAAGAAGCCTGGTCTGACTTAGGCTTTGATAAGACCCCACTCTGATGGCTCCTGTGGGGGTAGTAGCTGAGATAAGGAGAAGAGTTGGGGGGCTCTATTCTTTCAGGGCTTCTTCATCCTCTGATCACTCAAGAGATGTTTGTTGAGCGCTACTATGTACCAGGCACGGTTCTAGTTTCTGGGACAGGGTGTGAGCAAAACAGCCAGAAGTCCTCACCCTCACGAGCTTACAGTTTAGCAAGATAGTAATAACAGTAAACTCTTAGTGAGCACTTACCGCATGTCAGAATCTGTCCCAAGTGCTGTATACGTCAACTTATTTAACCTTCACCAGAGCCCCATGGAGCAGGTTACAGTCAGGTCAAGGAGATGTCAAGGAACTCATTCAAGGTCACAGTTACTGAGTGGTAGATGTTGGATTTGGACCCTGTGGTCCTGCTCCACCTGCTGCACCACTTTCCTGCTCTTCTGCGTCTCTTTGCAGACCAGCTTTCCTGCCTGTCACTCTCACCAGGCAGAGAAAGCCCGGTGGGAAATTGCCCACGCTCCCCGCCTATGAATTGTAGATGCTGTTCCGATTTCACCCCCCTCACCAGCTCATTAGAATCCAAATCCTGGTTCTCAGGGAAGTTCTAATGGGCCTTGGTTGGGACGGGTGCCGTCCACTGGTCCAGTTAGGTTGGCCAGTGAGGTCTGGCCACGTACGGTGCTCACCTCTTCTCACTCATTCATCATGGCTGGGGCCATGGGAATTTCCAGAGAAGAGAACGGGCTGGATGTGCAGTTCAAAAGATTCCGCTATAGAGCACTTGAAGGTCACACCCCGCCTTCCAACAGCCCCCAAGGATCGTTCTTATTCTTGCTCATAACTTTGAAAACTCAGTGTATGACTGAAAAATTTGTAGCCATATCCTCAGAAAACACAAAGCGAAGTATCTTTGTTCATTTGCATAGTTTGTGTGCTCTTCAAAAATGAAACGTGCTAACCCCCGATTTTTAGCGTAGGTAGTCGGTTTTTTAAATTTTTTCTTTGAAAAATGAAGAAGAGAGAGACCTTAAGAAACAAGTGATCTTAAGCTTTAAGTAGGTGCGAAAACCCCTTTTGAAATCTGGAGGGTACCCCCGTGTTCCCAGAAGAGCAATGAAGCCCCCTTTTGTACCTTGCTAGAACCTTCTGCTGGTTTTTCTCTTGATCTCTGTCTCTCTCTTTATCTCGCCATCTGTTTCTATTTTTGTACTGAGCCACGGCTCCCTTCCCCCCTCAATCATCCGTCCCCACCCTTCTCTTTTTTATTTGCCACACTATGAAACTTAATCTTTTTGTGCATGCCTAGTGGTTTTATGCTCCTCTTTATGTGAAAATAAAACAAATACAAGACCATTTCATTCTGTTCCTTCAAATATAAAATTTAAAATCTTAAGCATATATCACGTTCAACTTTTTTTCTTCTGTCCTGAATATCATTTAGTCTTGGAAGAAAGTTTGCTCCAAACTTTAAATGCTTTTCAGACCTCATGACTCATTCATTTGACGAATATTTTGTTGGGACCTACTGTGTGCCAGGTGCCAGTACTATAATGAGGGGTGAGATGGACACAGTCCCTCCCTGATGGAGCTCGGGGGTGGGGGGCGTGCAAAGTAGACCAGGATGGTTTGGCGTGACCATTACTGAGGTGCAGGTGGGTCAGGGAGGCCAGGCAAGGGCAATCTGGAATGACACGCGGGCTCTCGGGTAAGTCATGATAGCTGATGAGGAGCTCATCTGTTGGATTCACAACTTGGGGGTAACTCCTTCAAGAAAACCATGCCAAGGGGGTACCTGGGAGGCCTGCGTTAGAGGGAGGGTCTTGCTGAGGAGGTGACCTACCAGCTGGAGCAGGTGATGGAGCCAGCAAAGAGAAGCATCACGCTCTGCCTTTCTCTGTCTTGCTGTCTTCTTTTGGTGGTGGTAGGAGCACGTGCAAAGGTCCCGAGGCAGGGGAGAATGCGTGTGTCTGAAGAGCTGAAGGGCGGCCAGTGTCACTTAAGTTTAGCCAGGACATGCAAGACTCAGAAGCCAAGTTGGGGAGCTAGGATTTTAATCCAGGGCAAGGGAAAGGGAGTGACAAGTTTCGAGTAGGGGAGGAAGGTGATTCTGATTTAATATTTTTA